TTTCAAAATCAAAGGTGATGATACCTGTGACAGTAATAGAGTACGAAATGTGTACATCAGCATGTGCCTCCTACAAATAAAGACTTGTTGTTTTTTTGATACACTGTGGTTAAATTCGTAATAATAGCTTCGTAGTCCTGTGGTTTTAGCAGCATTTTTTTTTTTTTTTTGGCCGAATTTTTTTTTCGCCCTCTCGCATTAGTTTTGGGGTCTTCAGAGGATGTCATCCATAAAATTAAATCAGTGTGGCCTAATGGTCGAACCCGTAAACTATTGCCAAACTACTTCATGTCATGGAAATATTTTGTCCTATGGTATAGGGCGAGGTTTTGATAACAGGCGTAGCATTTAGCGTTGGTATGCTGATCTGAGTACACCTGCTTATTACCGTCGTAACCGATTGTAATGTATTGAGTTAGCGTTACTGCGCCCTCTACGGCTAATATTAGAAATGAGTCGTGTTCTGTTCATATCATGGCGGATAAGCAACAACGTTTCATAGATATATTGAAGATAATATTTGGTAATCGTAGTCCTAAATAACTATTAAAAATAGCTAGACGTTTCGAGCAATGGCTCTTTATCGATAGCATAGAAGCAAGACAATAATAGCATAGAAAGCATATTAGCATAGAAGCAATTTTTAACGTTTCATAGCATGAGTACACAACACCGATCATGGTCATGTGCAGCCGTAGGAGTGACTGGTTATAATTATGTTTCGCTTGTGGAGAAACTGACCTCTGGAGGAATACGAGTGCATTTTTAGTTAGTGCTTCCACACGGTGTTGGTCTAAGGCCACTCTCCACGCAAGAAGGCGCTTCTTCAAATACTTCTGCCACAGCTTGATTATGCAATAATGCAAATAGGGTAGGGTCAAACCTGAACTATATTTAAATATGACGGAGTTCGCGGGAACTTTAACACGTATTCTGAATGAATAATACTCTGACGTGAAATTTAAACGAAAGCAGATGTTAGTTATGGAAAGTGTATGGGAAGAGAAAAATTTATTAGTTTCTTTGCCAACTAGGTATGGGCCGCCGTCTTGAATAACCGAACAACTGCGTATTGATATGTGGAAAATCATAGCGTAAAAAGTCATGTGTGGCAGAGGTGTTAACCTGCCTGCGCTAAGAACTCCGGGATGGAGAGTGCCTACAGGCATTATCAAAAATAAGGCGACGTTACTGTTTGCACTAATGTACATTTTACCTCTGGGTGCCAAAATGCTGATTACTGTTTTTGAATGCCATGCCTTTATCCACCCATTTCCAGCCGTTGGACCATAGTGAGTTGGAATGTTTTTTGTTGACAACAACTACGTTGGTTTGAATCTGGGAATCGCTATCAATAGAGGCAAATGGGGCCGTGACAAGTTTTCACCCTTAGCTCCGAAGCCTCGGGTCTACTACTTTAACATTTTATCTGGCTTCGTCGCGCAGTGCTTAATAGAAATACGTCGGTAAGTTCAAAATGGGGGGGGGGGGCATTCATAGCAAGAAAGGGGTCAACACGTAGTGATAAACAAAACAACACATTTGCATCAAGATCAATTTATTTTGAATGCAAAATAGAACAGGTAAAATGTAAAAATAATCGAAATAAACCTAAACCTAAACTAAAAATTTTAAAAACAATGATTTGAATATTCAATAAAAACAGAAAATTATTCTATATAAAAAAGAAACAGATATATTCAAGAACAGAAACTATGACAGCTCTACTCTTTACAATCATCGGGCATTCTATAGTTTTCGTATTTTCCAAAAAAAAAAAAGAATGACGAACGTTTCATATCCATTCAAACAAAAGTGTAAGTGTACTACGAGTAATGTGGGTAATACATTCACGTATTGAAATCAGGATTGAGGTTTTTGTATAACAGAGCAGAGGAAACAAAACAGGGTACCAGCTGTAGTAAATCAATCCATATAATTATCTGACATCCTTTTAACAGCTAGTTTTCAATCACAGCTCACTACTATGCTTACGGACTGAGGTGAAACACGAGCTGGTATGGTCACTTGCTGAATAGACGTACCCTCGACGGCGATAGTTATTGCGCCCTCGCCGACCGACTCACTCGGCCGCAGTTAATCTGCCATAGTTGGCGCAATAACCGACGGGGCACGTCTATTACATTACACAGAACCCTATGTACATTTTACTTCAACTAGATATATTGAAGATAATATTTGGTAATCGTAGTCCTAAATAACTTCAACTAGAATCTCTCGCGCCCACGACGTGCATGGTAAAACACTGGAGCAATTTATCAAAAATACAGTAATTCTATCCATGTTCAACTCAAATACTATGCATAATATTAAAAAAAAAAGTGTTGAAATGTATTATGGAAAGTCTTATTGTAAAATACTGCGATTTGTTTAATTTACTAAATTTTGTAGCAACACACTGAAAAAACAAACAAAGAAACGCCGAAAATGAGGGAATAAATATAAAATGCATAACAATCTAAGACCATAATGCTCTCACCTTTTTTGTAACTATACTGAGGTTGTTTCAACTTTTTACGCTAATTCAAAGAGTCATAGTCGCCCGCGTTCGATTTTCGCGTAAATAAACAATGCTTTGACACGACCTACGGGATCTGTATCGAACACGACGCGAACCGATTACCGTGACGCTTTTGGGCCACGAAAAAAAAATCGCACTTATCACTCAGAAATAGTGTTTTCTTCTTACCTAATTTTAATGTTTAACTAAATATCTAAACCCCATTAATGCCGAATAGAATCATGTTGCTTACTGAGAGTACATATGGAATATGTTCCTATTATCAATTAGTATGGACACTAATAATAACATCATTCCACTACCATGTACAATGTAGTCAAACTCATTTGCGTACAGGCTCAAAGACTGCGAATTAAAATCAACATATATACAAAGTTTAGTGAAGCTAAACATGATAATCGCTGCAGAAATCGATTCCCGAGTAAAAAATAGTAGGTGGCTATGTCTTATTCTGTACCCTCGTATTTTTATTCAAACCTGAAATCGTTAATGTTCTGTACTCTTTTCACCACACGCGCAGCAGATATCGCGCGATTTCACACAGCGCGAGAAAGCGGCGTACGCTGCGTCTTTAGGCGTCTGTGTAGTAGACGCGCTCATCGTGGTATATTTCCTTGTTATCGTCACACAACAGAAGGATGCCCGCAGCGACGATAAAGAAAAGTGCTCCCCAAGCCACACCGTAGCACCACCCAAGCTCCCAATCACCTCGATACAGCACCACATCGCTCTGCATAAACATACTTGGAAATACAATAACGGATATCAGAAGACAAAGACCTGAAAGATAAAACAGAACGACATCAGAACGGAACGCATTTGTCATGCTAATATATTGTGTGTCAATACCTTACAATCCCGGGCCATGTGAATTGAATACATATCACAGGATCATTGAAAATCGACATAATGTTCGCTACAACTCATCACGTATGTCACTCCCATGCTTTAAAATTCATGTTTGCTATCATGATTATGTCATTATCTCTCATACAGACATTCTCTAAACCTTACCAACCATATCACTATAGCAACCTATATACGAATCATCTGAGCACGTAAGTATCGAGTATTTCTAAACATGTGATCGGAACGTGATTACAAGGTGTCACTGATTGTTTGGGTCCGTGACGTAAAACTAATTAACATTTATTCAAAGTTCACCACAACCACATAATTTCATTCATTGGTCCTACAAACAAATGCCATTTTATTTTAAAAACTAGTATGTAAGACATACATTTGCAGTTATAGTTCAAAATCAGACGTTCATCGGGAAGATGGTTCCCTAAAGTTGGTGGAGTTGGTGACATAGACAGAAATGTCATATAGCACTGAAATTATGCTGAAAACGTGGAAATATGCAAATTATGTCATCACGTAGGTTGCAAACTGACACAGAACAGTGTGTACATGTCAATAGTTCGCGGAAATAAATACTATCAAATTACAAGAATGTACTAAAGGTATTTGTGCAATTGGGTTTCAACTTACCGCCAAAAAACAACACAATTGCCGCAACTCTGTAAAGGAGGTTCATCTTCAAGAAGTATCCCACGATTGCAATAACTATCGCAGCCACATCGCAGAGAATACATATTATAACAAGCGCCCTCACCGCTAGTAACCATGCTAGACGCGAAAAAAATGGAAAAAAAAAGGTTCGTGATTTGAGGGAGATATGCGGGGATTGATTACATGTAGTTAAAAAAAACAGCACGCTCATACACAGTTTTCGAGTCGAATTCAACGAAAGATAAATACACAAATATGAACATAACAATTACGAATTATTAAATTCAGAGAATAAACAACATGTATGTAAGTATAATGTAATTTTCGAGTTGACTATTCAAGCACATAGAATCACAATTATACATTAACAGATGAACTGTGCGGGATGTGACTAAGGATGAGTAAAAGTTCACCAGACAGCAAGCATCACACAACACAAACATAGCTACGTGATCAGTCAGGTATATAGGCAAGAACGGAATGTTCCGTGTTGAGATTCACAGACAAAATAGTTGTGTTGGCGTTGATGGGGAGAACGCATGCAGGCATGAAATGGGACAAAGGTCACGCCGCTTGCCAGCAACTCCAGAACGTTTTCTGAGCAGACGCTTGTTGTCAACAAATCCAACCCGTTTTGTTTTTATTTGAAAGAAGGGAAAACCAGAGTCCACATTCTTTGAAATGACAACTTGTTTTGAAAAAGTGCCTGAGCATATACTATATTCATGAGAAATATTTACTCACAAAAGAATTAACTTATTTCAAATTTTAGTTAGTAAAATCTCTATTAGTCATTTTTTTACAAATGTTCAAGCTATGTTCAACATAAAAATAAATTTTACTAAATACTACATCCGTGTCATTGAACCGTGACGTCATGTAAACTGTCTGTGGTTTATACATGCATACTTGTTCGTGTTTTATTGTCGCTGTAACTATTTAACTAGAAAAATGAATATTAATGAGGAAATGTTGTGTTAACATATAATTTATAATCACAACATGTGTGAACACATCTGTCCATTCAACGATGTGTCACTGTCACAGAATTGCACAGCGGTACTGCAGATAATAAATCATTTATTTGTCCGTGCCAACTGAGATATGTTGTGTCATGTGCCTATTTATAGTACGAGCATGTACGCATCGCTATGTCGATCAATTCCCGGGACACTTAGCTGCGCATTGAACACTTTGTCACACACTTTGTCACACACCAGTGGACAAGCAGTAAGCGTGTCACGAATATCAATATGATCATTGGAATGCTTGATTAAACGTCGATACATTCTAATGTAAAGCGATGGAGCTAATCGACAATGCGTACAGGTTTAAACAGTGAGTTTGATTTATCGCCACTATCCGCCCATAATGGCCGGGTCGAGTTTCAGTTTCACGGCAGATAATCACGCGAGATTGACTACCTTTATGGAAATCCACTAGCCAGGTTGTATACCGTTTTGTTTGCGAAAGTACACAACGTCTGAATAAATATGTAAATTTTATGCAAAATTGATATAAATATGTATCTGGAACGCTCTTTGTATTAAAACAAATCATACAAAGATCTGCTTAGAAAAGTGTAGTCTGTTTAAAAAAACATATACATTGAGATTCAACGCCATGTACAGCTTCGTATTCGCATAGTATTGTAAATGATTGTGATTATATTTACCTACGTATATTTATAAATCGATATCTGACTGACCTATATAACCTACGTTGTACGTATTTCACCTGTATGCCGGCCAAAGGTAAACCACAAACTGACTATTTTTTATTTCATCATTATTGTATTATTGCTCACCTGATTAATGCCCAAACTTAGATATTTTAAGATTTTGTAATTTAGTTTATTGATTAAGTTACTGTTCATAAACAATGCTCCATGTTAAGATTTCACACAAGATATTTTGTAATATATGCAAATTAGATTTATTTAATTCTATTGCCACTGTAGGGATAATTTTGAAATGTTTTATAGTGTTCTCACAATGACTAAATTAATTCACTAAACTGTACTTAAAATTTAAGACTATCGGAATACAAAAGTCACCTCAATGCTGGAAATTCAGATAATACAGTAGATGGATGGGCTATATCACATGTATGTGGATATAACACTATGATAAAGACTTTTTGTTTGCCTCATTGTGAAATTCTTTCGTTTTTTAAGAGAAAAACTCTGAAAAAATGATTTTGACAAGATAATTCAGAAATATATTAAGTTTCCTATGCACCTATGAATAATTTTCAGAATTACCGATTACATAAGAATATTACAGAAAAAAAGATAATTTGTTATATTCTCTATATTTTTGCATTTTATTTGTTTTGAATTATGACTGAAAGAAGCTGAATGGAATTGCAAATTGTGTAGTGTGTTCAACAACTTATGTATGAACAATAGCTTTGGTAAATATAATTTTACTTGATAAAATTGGTGTATTTTGCTGCATAAAAACGAAAGAATTTCATAATGTCGGAAACGGAAATAGTTACAAAATGTATGGGAGATGTTCATAATGTATTGACATGTGCGCAATGTGACACTGTCATCAATTGAAAAAAACATTCTAGCTTGAACGTAGATCGACATCTCCTAGCTATTGGAGAACGGCACCGTATGATGTTATGTGTATTGAAAATAAAATATAGTATTGTATACAGATATACGTTACATCTCCGGTATACACACCCTTGCCGCCGCCTGGTGGCGATTCTACGAATGCTAAGACTTGAGGTTACAGGGAATACCTAATATCCAAAATATTCAAACTTGAAACTCGTTAGAAACCCCGACCATATTTGGCACCTGAAGTAGTGTTTGCCGGTAAGAATAGCTCGTGCACGAGTTCTTTGTAGGCCACCAGATACACTAATAGAGGTATGATTTATAGATTTAGAGGTACTTGAAACAGTATTGAAATTTCGACTGTAATCGTATAAATTTATATAGATTTCGAAACTGTCATTTTGTTTTCGAGCACATTGGCTCGTGTACGGTTTCTTACAAGTCATTGGGGCACATGGAGGCGAGATTATGGATTTAAAGTGTTGTCTGATGGCAAGATTAGCTAGTACACGATTTTTATAGACCAACAGTTACATATCAGAGAGAAGCGATTTGTAAATGTGAACATCGGGTGTTACGTGCGTTAGGAATACCCCCGATGTTGCTTACGAGAATAATCCAACTATACTAATTTAGTATTCGTATATATATTATGTACAAAATAATGTACTACTAGTACTGTTTTCTTGTCCGCTTCGTCTCCAGATGGCCGCCACGATGGGCGATGAAATAAATTTAAGTTTCTTAGCCTACCGTTGCCCATAGTGATAAACGGAAAGCCATCAACCGCCCTTAGTGTCAGCATACTTACGTACGAGGTTATAAAATGAAGTATCGATTTCCCCCAAAGTATCATTGATTTGAAAGAATTCAGTATATAAATACAAATGGCACTTAGTGTCAAGAACACACCTTACGACCGAAACACAACTGATGGTGATGCAGGCCATGTGAATACAGTGCACGTAGAGTGAATAACGATCGTTCAACCTGGCGGTGAAGTCTGGGACTCCAAATGAAACACTACTGACGCTCATTGTTATTCGAATCCACTGATCTCTCGCAGAGGCTGCAAAACTTTCAAGAATAACTAACTTCTCTGAGAGATATCTGTAATTATTCCATGCAGTGCCTTTGAGCATATACATGCATTATTTGCGCATTTTCTCAAATCTAATTTATTAAAGCACAACGAAAGTGTCCATTTTTCACATCGCATTATTTATTTTCGTGAAGTTTGAGTGCAAGGCAAATGAGGTCAACAAAAATAGTTGAGTGAATACATCGAATAGTTTATACTGACCGGGGATGACCTTTAGAGACAACAATCGCGCAATTGGAGGATGCTATACCTTTCGTTGGTCTGTAATAAAGATGTAAACCGACACGTAATCCACAGAACGGAACAGCATGTGAGCGGAACACTGCATTAATTTGCGACAATCTGTGCGCATGTAATACGGGAATTGAGGTGTTTGATGACTCAATAAAACAACATAATGCGATACGGATGCACGCAGGGCACATCATCACGAACATATCGAATGGTGGCCTGTATGGCCGCGGAAACAGACATAACAAACGTTACATTACACATCCGTGAGTGAATAATTGTTGAGATAATGTGACCCAATTGGCTCGAGCTTTTGACTTTTTCTGACGAACATCGATTGTAATTTTCTCCGAAATAAAGTTCTAAACATAGGTCTAATCATAAGTATAAATATTTTTTTAACTGACCCTAAAGAGCTGCATATTAATATGCGAGATCCACGATCTGTTTTGATAATGTAGAACAACTGCACAGTATTCTGCAAAACACACATGCTAAAGTAGGCACACCGTTACAAATAAGCGATACCAATGTTCGAAACCCTGTACCAATTTCCCCGTACAGTACAATATATTTGGGTAGGAGTACTAGCACATAAAATTGTACAAATTTCACAAGCCTATATTGAGCATATTGGCACAGGGAAAGTAAAATACAAAAAAAAGACCGCCATTTTGTGACACTAGTATATAATACACTACAGGCTAATTTGGGTATTCGTTTGGTATTCAAATACAAAACATAATAAATTGGCAGTTTTGTCTGTTTTGTAATTGACAGGGAACTGGGTTTTAGGAATAATGCTTCATTATTATGTTTCATGGAAATTATCCTCAAATAATTAATAAAATGTGTACTAGGCTGCATTGGTGAACTACCATGCCACAGTGAGCAGTAATACTTCAGTTTGGACTAGTTTATTGTTCTGAGAGTTGTTGAGAGTTGTTGAACTCTTCCCACAGAATTAAAAATAGATATAGTCATATCATTTTAATTATATGTCAACAATATTACTAGATTAAATTAATTGTCTGTTTTACTTAGTAACATTGCAGCCCCCCCCCCTGGCAACCCCATAATCCAGCTTTAGCGGGTGGGTATATCTAGTTTCGGAAAAATATTCGATCTTGAGGGTTTTCATATTTTAGCCACAAAAATCAGGAAGACCTACATAAAAAACACATGTCGTTGTTTATATTTACAGTATTTGAAAAACATTTTGATCATTTTATGTTGATAGGATTTCGTTGGGTTACAGCGCCACTCATACCAACGACAATACATCTAGTATAGATTCGGGATTTCCCTTTGGGCTGAGCTTTAAATACTAGTACACAAATGGGTAAACAAATGGGATTCATGAAATTTCAGCGAGCAGGATGCGCGGTGTTTACTATTTACACCTTGAACATACATACGAACTATTTATTTCGGTGACCCATCACTTCCGATAGGTAATCAAACCATGTCGGCAAAACAAGATTATTACGTAGTTCAGTAGACACGTAATGTTGACAATGCTCTGTGCCCAAATCACGGTTAAAAAACATGCTGTTGTAATGTCAGCATATATATACATGAAACTCCACGTGTTGGTATGTGCACAATAAACTCGTTTCATGACAATGTCCTCATTTATTATTCCAGACAGAGTATTTAGGCGCGGCGAGGAATTCCAAGCACGCCCACGATGACGACCACGGCACCGGAATTAAAACAAAATGATTGAAAACGCGTCATGGTCACGTGATGAGCCGAGTCGAGCAATAAAAATAACCCAACTATCTGGTACGTGATGCACTAGTGGGGTATTGTACACATCTGACGCAGTCAGCGAGAAGCATGACAATATTTGCTAACATAAATTGAAACAAAGATTGATTAATTTTATTGTTACGAAGTGTGGTATTTAATGGAAATAAATCGTATAAGTTAGCTCTATGGTCTATGCCGCATCATATCCCACACAGTGACTGATCAATGAAGGGTTTGCAGGACTATGCCTCGAGAGTGCATTAGTGTTTGACAACAGTCCCTCCACACGATGTGGAAGTACTGTGGTTTGATGAATCGCTTAGCAACTGAATCTGCGGTCGCAGCATAATTGCTGGGCAGATAGGAATTGATTAATAATATAGGACAAATATTCAAAAATTAACTTTAACAATTCTATGGTTATTTTGGGGGCACTCGCTAGGTGATCTATTTAACACACGATTATTGTTGGAGGTTTGTGTATATATTTCTGCCATATGAGAATGCCATGCCACAAACGGTGCAGACTTGCTATTCAGCTCCGTCCCTCTTTCATTAGCTGGCAACAATAATAGGACATTTGGGTGATAAAACTACTTTGCAACAGCGGGGCTCCGATAGTGCTTAAGACCTATGCACCGCGGGAACGATTTGTATGACAAATACCCCCCTCCCCCCACCAGTCAGACAACAACGCAGTCTATTGTGGTTGGAGCGAGTCGCACAAGTATGTGCCCATAGTGAGGTCATCGGATTGTTATGCCTCGACGCGTAGATGCTATTCGTTTAGTTTTTTTTTTATAAATATGCGCCCATTAAATTAGTTATATAATAGTTTTTTTTTTTCAAATACATATATAAGTTGGAATTTTCTACAATCATCGTAAAACTTAACATTAAGCAGCCGCCGTTTTCAAAATAATCCGACTCGTACGGGTGTGTTACACCATGGAGGTAAAAATACCCCCATGGTTAGACATAACCGTTGGCGTGTATTAGGATCATGCATTTCCATAATGGGCTGGCAATCTGTTTAGCTCCACGTTTCAAGCAAGGGCAGTCATTTACGCGTCTAAAGGTCATTCAATAAAATACAATGACAAAACAGGGACATTCGAATGTTTTTCATTTGCAAAGAACGGCCTGTGTTTAATATAATGACGATTACACATGTACTATACAGTACTTGATTCGCGCCTTAACGTTTTTACATAGCACTCACCTTCCTCGACGGCGTCGTAACAGTGTATTTCTGGGTCGTAGCCATACGGCGGAGGCGTGGGCTCTAATACACGAGTGCCATTATAACATTCATCCCAGAGTCCCATGTAGAATCCCCTGGCTTCCATCCAGTAATCACCGATACATGCCGCCAACAGCAACGGAAAGGCTATAATCGACGAGATAAAACCAATCAGCCGCAATGGCTTCACGACAGTGGTCGTGACTGTGGTGGTAGTAGCCATTTTGACACGAAAAGTCAGACTCAGTTAATAGAATGGCAGTTTAAATATGCAGTCCCAGTGTGAACAGTGATGGCGTTCGGCTGCGTCTATAGACTTCCCTAGATGGCGATCAACTATAATAAGAATCCGTGATGAAAAGGTGTGTACCTGTGGCAGATACCGTGGGTGGGGTAAGGTGGGTGGCGGAACTGATAACGCACAGGATCGTTAAACCACGGTTTGGGCTCTATCAATTCGATGTCGGTGACCTCCCCAACCGCGCTTATTTCGTATTCATAGTAAACAAAGCTGGCTGACAATCCGAAGGCGATTCCATTATAAAGACAGGGTGGTCCACATACACGTCTACATTCAAACCGCTTCCGAGTCTCTGATAGCATTCGGTACACGACAAATGCATTCAATAATTATTAGTATAACATACTGGGTACAGCATTACAACGAACTCTCGCGAGGTTTTACATGACGTCCACTCATTCTCTGTGAACTAACCCCATTCAACTTGTGGCCAGCACAAAGAGTCCTACAACGCCAAGTTGAAAGACGATGTCCATTCAACCTCAAACAATAAAAGCCAACTATTCAAGGTTCAAAGTTCACAATAAACGGGCGACAAAATCAGGAATAAATTATAACGCATCACAGAAAGGAAACAAATTGTTCGATTCCAGTGTCGTTATTTAGCCGATACAATCCGTCTATCACCGCGGTAGGGCCGGTGAATTCCCGCGACAATAATCGAACTGACAGTTCAGGAAGAGGACAATATCAAATCACGATGATGAACTGCTATGGAATTCGATCTTGTGTTTCTCGAATATGTAATTTGAAAAAAAAAGTGAAAGTTGCAGATATAATTTTTCAAAATCGGAAAGGAGAATTAAAGTGAACAATATATTGCATGATGAATGTTTTAACTTGATCGCGATGATCTGTTTTTACGTCCTTGAATATCATTAGATGGAGTCGATAACAACTAGTAAAGCGGCGTGAATACTGCAATGAGGTGTGTGTTAGGCAATGCTTCACAATTATAATCACAGGGAAAAATTACAAACTTGTATGTAAATCGCAAGATACCGCCTAGTTATCATTAGATACCCCATGATGCATTTCGTGTTGTGATGCTGATGATGATTTTATCCGCATTATATTTTGACCGACGACGCGCGACTTATTCTACACGATGACACCGAGATTTGCGGCCGCACACAACGGGAGTTCTTTGGAGTACTGTAAATTCTTTATTTTAGCTGGAAGTATTTTTCACTTAAAACACTTTTTGGGTGTTTTCTATGGAATTTATTTTCACTGATTTTTGATGAGTTGAAAGCAAAATATGAGACAGGTATATTCGCTGGATTTTACTTTCACTTAATCATTCCTGCAGCGAAAATAGCTTAAATTAATTCCAAGCGAAAATAAAGTATTTTACAGTTTACTGGTAAAAACGAAAGCACGCGGCTTTAATGTTTGCCACGGATGGCGTACCGTCCACCGGGTGTTAACAGACGGAATGAAATTGAGTGCGGTTGAGGAACAGTTACATTTTTACCAATGATGTAAAAAATCTCCCTCTTTTTAATTGTATATACCCTCTTCAGGACAATAATTATCTGGAAGGACATATACATTTAAATTGGACAGATACTATTAACGACCGTTGAACGCGCTGGTCCGCACCAGGAATGCTAGTGTGGATATACTGGTATTATTTTAAAACAAATATTGACCGATGTAAGCTATACAAACAATTGTACTGATAGTAAAGATTCTCTCAGCTCAAAGACATTTAAAGCGCCAGGGTCGTCGCAGCGCGTCGTATTCGATATAGCACCATGGCGACGAAATTCGAACACGAGCTGCGCGACGACTGTAGCTCTTTATACGGCTATCGCGCCCTTTTGAGTGAGCTTGACGACAGTTGGGGGCTACTTTGGGTTTTACTACCAGGTTTTGCAAAACAATGTGCTCACCCAGACCGTTTTCACCCCAGAAAATTATCCGCTTACCCGTGAATGAGGACTGTTTTCAACTCTTTGTTAACTAGTAAATGTCAGATTCTAACAAAGAAGTTGCCTGATTCTAGAGAGAGGGGCCCGCTATTGAATAGAAACAAATCAGTTGGGTCAATGG